CATGTCAAAAATGTCCCCTGACACCTCATCTTTGTGCTGCCTGGGAAAGAAAACCACAATTCCTACATCATAACTGTGCACAAAAATAGAATCCTTTGGGAAAGAATTCAGAGCCATACTGAAACAGGACTTTAACTCAGGTGTTATTATTTCAATGTAGTAAAAAAGCCAATAAGCTGTTTGGGAGCAAAGTGAAGTGGTGCCACCTGGAGCCAAGCTGTTCAGCTGTGGTTAGAGTAGCTCTGCTGGGTGGCACCACACCCACCGACATCACACACCTTCTGTGGCTTCGAGAGCCTGAGCGCCTGCTGAAGTAACCTGTGATTCGGCATAATTTAGAGACTAAGATGTCTCATAACATGAGCACATTCTGCTCTCTGTCACTGATAATTCCTTTAGGTTTTCGAGGACTAACTCACTTCAGTGATGTTGTAAAGGCCATCATGCTGAAACCAGGTATCCTCTCCACCAGCTGCTGCTCAATGTACTTTTCCAGCAGATCAATCTGCACAAGAATAAAATTGTATTTATACAAAAGCCCGTGTCACAGTTGGATTTTCTCTGTTCAACAGAAATTCTAGTCTAAGACCACATATCGAGGCATACAGAGTACCAGTTATAATAGCTCAGCTGGCCAACCCTGTTCCTGGAGAGCCACGATCCAGCAGGTCTTATAGGTGATCCTAACTCATCCATTTCTACACGCGTGGCCCAACCAGTTATTAGGTTTAGGGGGCAATCACTTTTTCACACAGGGCCATGTAGGTTTGGATTTTTTTTCCCCTTAATAATAAAAACCTTCATTTAAAAACTGCATTTTGTGTTAACTTGTATTATCTTTGTCTAATATTTCAATCTGTTTGATGATCTGAAACATTTCAGTGTGACAAACATGCAAAAAAATAAGAAATCAGGAAGGGGGCAAACACTTTTTCACACCACTATATGTGCAGCATCCACCTGGATGATGCGACGGCAGCCATAGTGTGCCAGAACGCTCACCACACATCAGCTATCAGTGGGGAGGAGAGCAGAGTAATGAAGCCAATTCATAGATGGGGATTATTAGGAGACCATGATTGGTAAGGGCCAATGGGAAATTGATATGAATGATATGAATGTGCTGTACTACACCTTAGCCTCATTATGCCAAGATAAACATGTGAGACCCACATATTCGTTGAAGATGGGCGTGTAACTCAGTTTATTCTCCTCCGAGTCGTCAAACTCAAGGTAGTACTTCTCCATGAAGCTCCTCTGCAGATGCTGAAACTCATCTTCTGGAGAAATGAAAATCACAGCCATGTCAACATGTAAAGACACCCCAACACTCACCTTCCTTGTCTTCTTTCTTCTAGGGAACATAAAAGCAATCTGGACAGGTGCTCGTAGCAAAAAAAAATCTTAAGAAAAGGAATGCACCCAGAAATCTTGAGCTTATCAAGCAACAATGAACAAAAATCTCCAAATACTTTTGTTTTAAAATGCCTGTATTTTCAATTCACCTTTTGTGGTCTACTCAACCAGGCAGGGAGCAACACCAAAGCCAGTAAGAGAGGCCGTTCATGCCATCTTTATACTCAATAAGCTAAAGCATCACATCGACACACTTCTTGAAGTATCAGCTTCAACCACCTGGCTAAGCAGGTACTTTCTAAAGCCCCACAAACCTGCAGGAAAAAGAAGTTTCAATTCTTTCCGAAACTTGTCCATTGGGTTCATCTTGTCTGCACCGGAAGGATTTTAAATACTTGGGCCAGGTTTTCTCAGAACATCCTTTGTTAATGTCTAAAGAGATTTCATGACCTTCAGTCTGCAAATTACACTCCTCGTAGACCAGGAGTTATTCTGTTCCCTCCGTTTTAGCTATAACCCTGAGCAAGAAGTCATGGCAGACACTCGCACGGCCAGAAGACTGGAGCACAAGTCCACGGAGTTCAGCCTGCCTCAACCCTGTTTTCAAGGGAGGGAAATAAGGGGTTAAAGGAGATGCTATCACACAGGAATCACTCACCCATGATTATATCTTCTATGTTCCCAATGACTGCATCAAATGCTGCATCAGCATCTGAAGAACTGAGACAAAAGGCAATCAGTATGCGGTGCATGACAGTTAGATCTCTGTTTAAACGTTTATGGCCAGACTTTTTGTTTAAACGAAGTAAGAAATGTCCTTTTATTGTAGTCCAACATTCACATTTAGCTCTTTGGGTGAACAACACTGGCCAGTGTTCAACTTGACTCTGTAGTCTTATGTCATTGCTCACTGAAAACCTTCCCTTCCTGCTCTCTGAAGCCCAGATTCACAGTTCAGAAGAGACGTTTAGTGCTGGCAGGAACTTCAAGTCCCGACAGGCCATAAAGGGTTTTAAGGAAGAAAAAAAATCTACTTGGTGACATGACATTAAAATTGTTCAGACATGTTTTTTTTCTATCAAATCCACATTAAGAAATGGCTTTAGTCTCTGATGTAAGCCAATCTACTCTTCAAAACATCGTGTATAGAAGATGTATGCGGCTTACTTTGAAACGGCAAATTCTTCTTCTACCAGGTCTTCCATTTCAACTGCATTCTCTCCACCACCGAGCAAAACTACAAACAAAAACAAAACGATACAATATAAATAAAACACAGTACATTAAAATCCCTCCATTAGCACAAATGTCCTATCCTCGCTGATGACCTACGACCCAGACGAAGGCGAGTAATTAATCGCCGTGAATTGCATTAGCCTTCAGTGTGAAGAGACCCAGGAGCAGGACTGGTGAGCTGCTATGTTCATCTCGGACAGTTTGGCTTACAGGCAGGAGCATTTAAGAAGCCATGTCGCCCAATACTGACCCTGATGAGATTCGGTGGTACCGTGCTCAGAACCGACGTTGAAATGTCTGGGTTTTATCTTGAGAAAACGCTGCCACATCCAGACAGATATCTGCCTGAGTTTTGATTTTTAAACTGCTACATCAAAACCGTTCAGAAAACCCACACCAGTCACACCAGTAAAACAAGTTACCCACACACTGAACCGCAATCTGCACATTTTCGCCGGGATGAACTTATTCCTTGTCACGCAGACAGAAAACTTACAACTCTTACCATAGTGTTACGACAAATATGGCTTTTATAAAGAGGCGACGAGCATGAAACAGTAGTCATGTAAGAACAAAATATACAATAGTAATGATATGCTGTTTCGAAAACAAATCAGAACAGACGTTCACGTCCACAAACTGCTGCACTCATTTCGTTTACCACGCTCCGATCCTATTGGTCTGATTTTATTGAATTGTGTATTATTTATTCAATTACTTCTCTCACTGGCAGCCATTCGGTCCCGATTGGAACTCTCCTTCCTATCACACAAACGGCTCCACAGCAACGGAAAAAAGCTTCCCCCATCGCTCCCCAGTCCGATGGGGAAACACAGACCGAAGCATTTTAGTTCCGTACGCAACAGCAACCCCTTTTCTATCTGCAGAGCTGAAAAACTACACCCAACACCTACACTAAATACCAAGTTTCGTACAGTATGGCGTGGTTATTTGCCTTCGGTACGTTATGAAGTAGCTTGTCTGATTAATGTGTCTTAACGCCCAGGGACATCAGAACAACGGGGAAATTTAAAGACCCAGAAGAAGCGTAAAAGCTCCAGAGGATGGAATACTACGGAGGAATTGAAAAAAGACTGAAAAAAAGTGAATTGAAAATTTTTAAAAAGTAAAAAAAAAAAATACTTGAAAACACTGCATTTGCCAGGGTTGGTCTCTGTCATTTCCGATAAGAGGTTAGCCCATCATGATGTGATGATGACCAAAAATGACGAAGAACGCGTTTGAAATGGAACATACCAAACCCTTGCACACCATATATCCACATTTGTGACACAAGCGCCCTCTTGAGTTTTTGTTGCATTCCCACTACACAAATTAAAAAGACAAGTCAGACGCTCAAAAAGCATTTATTTTCTTGAAAACCGCTTCTGTACAACATGGGATTTCCTTATTCCATGGTCTTCCTAACAGAACATCATGATCTTATGCCCACTGTGCAGACGTTCTACCGACAGGATCAGTTAACAAAATACAAATTTATCATGATTAAAAAAAAATAAAGCATTTGCCATTAACTGTAATCCAGTTTCCAGGGTTCAAAGCAGCGTAGGAGCCGTTTTTTTCCCCATTCGATAAACCGTTAATGTAACAAATCGTTACTATAAAACACTGTTTTAATCGACAAACCTTTCAGTATAAAAACAAAACAGGAACTTCAGCAAGTAATTTTGATTTCGCTAATCCAACTGCGGAATTCTTATTTAAATGTCAAGTTTAGGGCTCAATGCGATTATCTTCGACGTTCCGCACAGAATTGTTTCCTGCCTAATACAGAACTGAATTTTTAATGCTTTCCATACGCAAACAGAACCTACTTGATAAAATTATCCGCATTAGGAACGGGGGAGTCTTAACGTAAAATCGCTTTAAGTGGTTGTGTTGAGCATATCCTGCAGAAGTTCCTAGGAATGTTGTCTGATGCTTAGTGCACACTCAGTCCTTGAGCCAATACCCGTTAAAAAAAGGAAACATTTCTAAGCCCAAGTTGAAGGAACTTTTGTTTATACCTTCAAGTTTTATTACCAAAAGTATGTTTAACCGGATACAAATATATTTCGGAAGATATATTTGTAGGATACATTTTTTTTTTTTGCAAAGCCATCGTCGGCATGTTAAGAATCACTCCAGAAACGGGTCAAGCAGACGAACGAGAAAGAAAGACCCAGAGACAGAAGTCGCTCTTCCGGGTTTTTGTTAAAATCCCGATCAACCAGACGGAAAACAGCCGTCTCTCTCGGTTACCACCACCTGTATATACATTTTCAATGTGGGATAAATTAAGAAGACATTTTCCTTTTAATTGCTTTTTACTTATTAAAAGACAAAAACGCCCCAATGTTTTAACACTGCTACATCTGCAGCACAGTAAGACCAAGGTTTCTGAAGAGAAGAGTGAGAATGGACTTGTACAGCTAACACACCTCCAAGAGACTCTTTGGATCAGACTACATCTTCACATTAAACCACAGCTGATCACATGATGGGGCCAACGTACTTCTGTTGTTTAATCAGAATAAAGGAGCTAGAGGAAAAAAATATTTAGTGTCGATTCACATGGATCTGCTAATCAATGCTTCTGAAAGCTTCAGTTCCTCTGATCACACTCGCCCAGCATTTCCATTGTTTCTCTGAGGTAATAAAAGTATTTTTAGAGGTGATTCAGCTGTTTGCAGGTGTCCTGCATGTGTTTGCTGTACAAGCTGCAGTCCTCCCACTCTGGTCTTGTAAACCCCAGTCTTGAGGTAACGGCAGGGTCATGGGGTCTCTGACCTTGCCCAGTATTCCTTGGAGTGTCCCTTAAAGGTTACCCTCCCCCCCCAGTCCTTGCTGGCCATTTCCTTGGAGCTCTCCAGGCCTCTTGAGAGGGATCCATCCCCACCTCCCCGTGCCCTGCAGAGGGGACAGATCGGGCCTGCAGCGAGAGCTGCCCGGGCCAGGCCTCGACGCCGTCGTCCACCGCTCAAGTTAAGACCACAGTTTCAAGGGAAAAGGTGCCGTCAGACGATATAATGTGCCCTGCGCTCTGTACGCAACACGGGCTGGTTCTGGGCACGCCCTGGTCTCAGGCCAGCAACACAGAGAGGGCGTGGGAGAGCTCCAGTGTCAGGACACGTGCGATATGAGTCTCACTCTGCTCTTAATGTCCTGGCGACACAGCGGGCAGGTCTCCAGCAGTAAGGCACACTCCATACACATGCCGCTGAAAGACAGAGCGACAGTGAGAGAGAGCCAGGGATCCAGCACACAGACTTGAATAAATTTAACAAAGCATTTTTACACATAAGTAGATAACCTCTTCACTGTTTCTGAATGTTTTGCAGTTTCAGAAGGAAGTGCCAAGGACCCTTTAGATGCCCTTTAATCCTGCAGAAGTGATCATGCATGGATATCATTCTCCCACCAACACAGCAAACAATCTTTGCACAGACGTTCCATTAATAAAGGCTGTTTTGGCTGTCTGGGCTCGTGTTCTCAGTCATACAACTGTGATGAAGTGAGTGTGAATGAACTGCTTCGCTAGGTGCAAGAAAGAGCTACCCAGCGCTTCCTGTATCTAAAGCTTACCTGTGACCACATGGCCTGAGCTCTGTGTCGGCCATCTGATCGCAGCACAGGGTGCAGCAGTTGTCTCTGATGCTCACTTGCTTTAGCAGAGCCAGGCGTCGGTGTCTTTAAAAACAGGATCACAATTGTCAATTGATGCAGGTAAATCAACACTTTTTGAATTGCAGCATACTGGTTTATACAATGAAACAAGACTGAAATCATATTCTAGGCATTAACTTGGTATCAAATTATATTGCTATTTGGAATCTTCAACAGATTGCTCACACATTTTTCAGTTATAATGGCTGTGTAAAGGCAGTTATATTAATAAAGGTACATCGAAACAGTCAAGTTACACATTGCTTCTCTTTAATGCAATCTTAGAACTGTTAACAAGAATAAGTTCCATCTCCAGCTTCATGCTAGGATCAATGGTTTGACTCAAGCCTAAACACGAAAGAAACACACCAGTTGACTGATGCGCGTTAACCTGTCTGAAAACCCTTCAGCACAGAAAGCTTCACCTTGGCAAGATGATCTTCTCATCGGACGCCAGAGAGGCGTAGTCATTGAAAGTGCTGAACTTCACAGGAGGCTGGTGTCTGAAGGGCTTCGCTCCGAAGTTGAACTCACACTGCTGGTACGACATAAAGCTAGCCGCTGCGAAAAAGCCAGATCTGAGAGACGACGAGGAAGAATCAGTCATCAGGTTTCTTGTTTAAAGTCGGACGTGTAGAATTTCATCGGTACCGTTGTGACATTCCTAACTGGAAAACGAACCTCTCCATCCTCCAGAGCGCCCCATTATTGTAATTAACTCACACATTTGTTTACAACTTCCTTTTTTTACTGCCAGTACTCACGTGGCCGATGAGAAGACTTGTTTCTCTGGGGGAAGCTGGTTGCCGTTTAAGTAGAAAACCATCTGTTTCTTAATTAGGTCCAGCAGAAATCCTATCGTGTCACCTGAAGGACACAGGAAAGAGAAGAATAAGATCTGGCTTAGGAGGGCATGATCAGCTGACGCCTCTGTGCATCACCTGACATCTTGATTCTTTTCAGCTGAAGCTGTAACTATGAAGTGGGCTTATAGAGCACATCAATGCATCTCTTAGGTAACTGAGGACAGATATTGAATTGAAAAGCCCAAGAGAAGCTTTGCCATTGAAGAGCACGAGCCAGGCTTGGTTGTGTAAACCAGGGCACCATATCAACAAGCAGCAAGAGGGCTGTTTAGGTCTTTACCAACAGGACCCTTGGTGTCTGGAGCAAGCAGATTCCCCGAGATCCTCCAGGAAAAGCCTAGAAGACACTCCTAGCACTAGCGGCTAGCAGCCGCCTCTCCCCCGCCAGTGCTGACGGACATGCGGCGGGGCTCCTCACCTTCCTTCCAGCAGGGGTGCGAGTGGGGTTTACTCCGGGCATTGTACCAGATGAGCTGCCGGCAGCCATCGTACGCGCAAGAGTACTCATCGTCGCCTATCCCATAGCCCTCCTGGAACACACACAGAGCCGTGAGGGTCAGGCCCACAGGGGCGAAACCTGCCTGGAGCTTCACACACCGCCTTCCACACACACACGCTACACTCACAGACACCGGAAGCATGCAAGCACTCCAGCTCTTAGCAAACAGACGCACAGGAAATTAACGCACGAAGTGTTTGCGTAAACATTAGTTTGAATGTTTTTATAATTATCTTTATCCTTAGTAACATAACATTTTATGTTATTGGAAGCTGCAGAGTCACTGGGGTGTAAGCTTTACTACCTTGACTGTTCAGTGTCCGTTTTTCATGAACTTGCAAGTTTAAGAAGAACTCAGAGGGGAAGTAAAAAAAAGTATATATAGCAGCACTACAATGCCTTCTGACACTTACATGGTTCAGGAATTTACTGTCTTTTGTGGCCCAGCCAATCTGCATTACTCCTGAAGTAATGACGGTCACTTCATAGTACCAGACGCCCGAGTCCACGCAGAACGTGCAGCGGACACTCTCGAAGGAGGAGGCGTCACAGCGCGCCTGAGACCAGAAGAACGAGAGGGAGAATTGGACACAGTTGTCCCCCCTTAGAATTCAAACATTCTTGATGTCTGAAAGCACAGTATATCGCACCGCTTCCTCAGTAGTTTACAAGACAATGCCTATAAAACCAAAGCGAGGAGTGGTGTTCTTGTTTGATTGGCAGGGATTGTACCAGGGAAGGATCAAGGGCCAGAAACATCAAAAGCCCCTACCTCCAGCCCGCTGGGAGAGATTTTGAGATACTCGCTGACATCGTTGCTGTTCAACATGGCGTTAATATTGTTCAGGTTGACCTTCTCATAGGTGAACTGCCGGCCCTCTTTCAGAACTGTGGAAAACAGCAGCAGCACTGTCAGAACAATGTGTAACTTCTAGCTTTAAGCAGCACCTAAAAATGACCCAGCAGATCTAAAAACACCACCCATGGATTTCAAGGGGTGAGTCATTTCCTATTAGGTGCCAGCTTCAACTTCTACACCTGCATTTCCTTCCAAATGGTTTTAGTTCTAAATAAATCATTTACCACTAGCTCCAATTCTGTCTTTCCTGAATCCCCGTGGAATAAATTTGTGTAAACCCAACACGAAACTGCCCGGGCCGTCGGTGAACCTTACAAAGATTGTCCAAACTCCACTGCGCGCAGAATCCGACCTGACGCTTGAGGAAGTCGGTGTGGTTTGCCCAGGTCTCCAGAACCATCAGCCGGTCACTGATGCACGAATCGGAGACGGTCAGTTTGTTCTCACCTGGGGGATTAAAACACAAGGGACGTGTGTCTAGAAGAGCCCAGGACTATGGGCCCAATCTGACCTGTCTTCACACAAATGCACTGTGAAGGACAAAACGAGAACAAAACCTGATTTCTCAGTAGCAAAGAATCCCCTTAAGATGAAAAAGAGATTACTGAAACACTACGTTTTCTTTACAGATAAGTGGAAAAAAAACTGTTGTAAAGAATGCAGATGGCCTTAAATTAAACGAGCATGACTAACACTACAAAACAAACTAACTGAAACAGATGCATGCTTAATGAATGCTTATGTAAAACCTTAACTTTACTATAGTACTTTCTCAGCTGGAGTACTGTGGAACGGAGACTATCATTATCATACACGTCTGTCTGTCGGAAACAGTTACCTCAAACCTTTACTATGCCTTTAGCATGAGAAGAGGTTAATGGGAGCAGAGTGAGACTTACTTGTCTGTGAAAACTTTTCAAGAGCAATGAGTGCAAACAGCATGACGGTGGGGTGAGCCTCTGAACTCTGAAACAGAAGAAACTCAGAGCGTCAGTGTCCCATCACCCACTACCAATGTACTGGCATCGAAACAGAGCAAGCTGCATCGCCTGTTTTCCCCAGAGACAAGCAGCCCACTGCAACACCTCTAAATAATCTGGAAGACAATTACTGCTATATAGATCTCCTGTAAATATCAGTGGACTGAGGGAAGACGGCAAGTTACCAAAAATTAATACTGCATATGGTTGGCATTAATGCTGGCCACCTAGATCTAAAGTGACTAAGTTCAGAAGAACATGCCGACTGCCACTCTTGCAGATGACTGACTGTTCAATAAGCTCAGAGGTGGTCTCCCTGGCCAGGGACTATACACAAGGAAACAATACTTATTGCACTTCACAAAATAATAGCTAAGCTGGTTTCGGACACAGGTTGCAAAGGCAGGTGCCTGTAGCTTGCAAACACGGTCAGCTACAAGCTTTCAAAGCCCCTGATTGGCCCAGGGCTGTTACAGGACCCACCAGGCTCTCCAACAGGTACTCCAGAGTCCCAGGGCTCAGAAGACCAATACTAGCTGGACCTGGAAGGCAGCAAGAAAAAACACTGTTGGTCTCAAAACAAGAAGCTGTCACATTCTGAGCTGGACATTCAAAGTTTACTTTCATAATGGCAAGTTTCTGAACCACTCTGAAACAAAGTTTAAAACGGCTTCTTAAAAAAACTGCATAAAGGCACATCTTGACTGCTCGCATTGTGTTCCTGGGCTTGGAGATCCACATGGAGATCAGCACCTTTCTGCTTCCCAAGCATGACTGTCAGCTCGCTGGCAGGGGAGTGACACGCATTCTTATGTCACTGTCTTAACGTGGCCCTTGGTTCCACGCCAAGCCAAGCTCCTGCAGGGAATCTGGAAGGAGGCTGCTCTCGGGGACACCACAGCACAGCACACAGTGCTTTCCCTCTCCTTTACCTGCCAGTTTCTCCGCCAGGCACCCCAGGACAGCCGTGGTGTTGCGGTGTTTGGCAGGGATGGCAGCGTCCTGGCGTGCTGCTGAGCCACTCAGATTAAGCATCTCTGAAAGCTTTTGTAACGCGTCCTGCAGAAAAAGAACTTTTAAACAGCTGTTCCACTTAAAATATATTACACAAAGAAGACTAGGGATTTGCAAGTACGTGCTTTGATAATTTACACAAACTGTGCTTTAGGCAAAATAAAACACTCAGATCTACGTGAAATGTTTCCTCACAGGGTTATGAAAGCAAATGGTGCGCAACCAAACCTTTTAGTTTTACTGCTGGCGCCATTATGTACTATGAGGACAAATGGTCTCCTGGGGCTCTGCATCCCAGTGCGAGACAGAACTGGAGAGAACCACGGAGCTCTGCACTGAGCATGCTTTTGTGCACCGAGTTCTATATGAACATGCTCTGCCCCGTCAAGTCAAAATAAAAACGCAGCAGTAACAAAATCAAAAATACTGATTACCATTTGGCACACTAGGTCTTCATCTCCTCAAAACTTCTCAATTGTGAAGCCACAACAAAAATCTAGTGCTCAAAGAACAAATTATTTTGGCAGCACTTTGTTACTTGAACACACTGTGGCAGAGAGACAAGTACAACTGGAAAGAAAAACAATTCACGCTTTGTGGTACCGGGGTATCGGGGCTCCTGCCCCAAATTGCATCAGCCTCACATGGGCATAACTCACTTTGGTTGGCAGGGGGCATTCATCAAGCAACAGGGTAATAACAGCTGGTCCCAGAGGGTCCTCCAGGGGAATCACCCTGATCAGAGACTGGACCACTTCCAGCCAGCCATCGTCTGTTGGGGAGAGAGAGCACAGGGACTGTCAGGGGCCTGAAGCCCTCCTACACCACGTTCTGCACTCACAGAAGCGCCGGGCCGGCAGCCTGAGCCAGGAGGCCATAAAGAAAAAGCAGTGCGATGTGGACATGGGCTGACTGGCTGGGTGCTGGGCTAAACAGTGCTGTTAGCAGTTAGGGCTCGATGACTGCAGTGGGTTTTATTACAGCTATAATTTTGAAGTACAAGCAGATCTAGCCTTAGACAGATAAGGCCAAGTGGACCGTTTATTTGTTAGGTTACCTACTGGTACTAAAACCATACTGATCCGGTAAAAGGGTTCAGTCACCAGTCACACGCAAAGAGCACTGTGTTGATGCTAATAAAATTACTACCCACACCACCTAACCCTTTCTGTTTAACTATTTAATGTCTGCCCTTCACATGAAAATCTCCTAATTAAAATGCACTTAAGTTGCTTTGGCCAATGGTGATCACAATAGCCTAACAGGGTTGGGGAGTAACAGTTCATCAGTCTGCAAGCGATTACAGTACAAAGACCCAGCACGGATGTGCAGGTCCACCATTGACCAGCAGCTGCTTCTATTCCAGGCTGAGCCCATGCCTCTTAGCATGCGTTTAAAACAAGCCTCTAGGTACAACACATACGTACACATCTTCCAAAGTCTTATTTAAACACAGCAGCTGTTGAGGAGGCAATGTGTTGCAAAGCACTGAAGGCTCAAAATACAGAGCTTAATTTTGTTCATGCTTTAGTAATGAATATCATTTAGGTAATTAGGGATTAGGATGCCTAATTCACCTGCATATAGAAAAGCCCACATGTGCATCACAGATCTCCAGCCAGATACAGGCAGTTTGTGTACTGTACACAGTGCACTGCCCTGGAACTATGCTAAGCTCTTATATCTTATCTTTCCCATGTAGAAATAAAATGCCTTTGGAGTCAGGACACAACTGTATTATATTACCATGTTTGCAGATGTGGAGATAAGGACAATACTGCCCAATAAAAAGGCAATATTCGTCTTAAATTAAACTATTGCACTGGTGTGAAATACAGCACATGGAAAAGAGCCCTTTACCCCTGCAGGAAATAGAAAAACAATAACAAAAAAACACACGTCCCATACAAAGGTCAACCTGCTCCTGGGCATCGTTAACACTGTTCTAGTGAAGTGGTTTTAGCCTTTTTTTCCCTTCATAGTAAATGCAGAGAGTGTCTTTCAGAAGATACGACCTTGAAACCCAGAACCAAGGACTAAATTATGGAAGGATTTTGTAAACTCAGCCCCATCCCTCTCCACTCGGTTGCTTCTCAGTTGTAACGAGAATGAGACTTTTAGCAATCAGATTTGATCGCTGCCAAATACCAGTTACCTGTCTCTGCCATCTCATGCAGGGTGATCATTGAATATGGTGGTTCCTGGTCACTGCAACACAAGAGGAACAAAAACAACAATCAACAGCCAGTATAAATAACAACACTTCTCAGTATAAATAATAAATATACTTCTCAGTATACTTATTTCCCTGCTCGTGATTGCAGGGTCTGTAGCTGAGAGCCAAGACAAACAACTGCTGATTCCAAATTGAATATGACAAAAAGTAACTGACTATTCTACTTTTAAATAACCTTCAAAAAGAAGTGGAATATTTTAGAAAAGAAGGCTCGAAAACTAACCTCGGGATCGATGACTACCATAAAGCAAGTGTTGCCAGCTATGTGGTTATTACATTGGCTCCATCTTAAATGGGGCAAATCCATTAGTCACTCTTGCACATTCATTTGTCAAAAGAGTCTCCGCAGGATCTCTTTCCCTTAAGATTCGTTAGTAGGTTTAGTGCTCATTTAAAGTGGCTCATTTACCGGATTAAACAAAAACAAAGGAATTTGCATATAATGCCCTCCCTGATTTATAATGAAACATTAAACTGTGAATTTCAGTCTACACAGATATATAAAACTGATACTCTCCGACATGCAGGTTTTAATAGGCCTTTTTTAACTCACACCTGAGGGCAAAGGAGAAGTTAATAAATAAAATGTTCAAGGTAACCAAATAACTAGATTTATTGAAGGGGATCTTTTGACCTTCAGGAGAGGAGCAGACCAATCCTGCTCATAGAGCTGTACATTTGAGACACAGTAAGAGACATTTCTGTACACTGAACCGAGGGCTACAGGAGCCTGGAATAAGCTACACATCATCAAAACCACGATACCCTAGCTTCCTTCAGACAAACAGCAGGACGCAGTGTCTGGAGAGCCTAGATTCCCGTGGAAGGTCCTCAGACACATGAGGAAACAAATGATCTGGACTAGTGGAAGGGTCTCCTTTCCTTAAACTCTCCCGCTCCCAGGATCACATAATGAAACAACAGGAAAGAGGTCATTGCTTAGAATGAATGGACAGGCTAAATGCTAGTAGATGCATCAGTCAACCTTGTTAATTTAAACGATGATCAGAGTGTGCAAGAGACTTCCCAAGGGCCTTCGCCACCATGGAGAAAACTGTCTAAACAGCAGTTTTTTTTTACATAACTGACAACAGTCTGAACCTGATCCAAACTCCGACACAGGTTCTAGCGAGCTGTATTTCTCAGCTCAATTATCTGTGCGCAAACTGCAGTGCAGACTGTTGTACCAAGCTCCAGAGGGCATGACGCTACAGAATTTGATCTCGGTTGACAGAAGGAGGGGGAAAAAAAAAACCCGTATTAAAGAAACATGAAGATCACACAAGCAACAGCCTGTCTGTGGAGGCCAAACATTTCAAATGTTTCAAATGAGAGAAAAGGTTCAGGCACATGTCAGCCTGACAGCACAGGCAAGTGGAGCACCAAGTCCTCCACAAACCAAGAGACTCCGATCCCAGATCCCGTCCCAGGTTTGACAGCACCAAGGGGGCCAGGAACCAGCAGGATGGGGCTAGTACACCGCAGGCTGCCCCCACAATAATTGCACCCCCTTTCACAGCTCAGGGCCGCTGCTCGACTTGACACATGGGAAGGAATAACTTGCCAAGTTAGAGATCTTAATTTACTTTTGAAACGCAATGGTTAAAGGGCGACCTTTCAACACACTGAAGAGTTTAAAACGGTTAAGGAGTTCAAACTAATCCTCTTAGGTCAACTAAGGATTCCATTGTGTAAAAAAGCTCAGCTATAGAAAAAACCAGCAGGCCTTGTGGGTCTCAAGCCCAGGACTTACCGGCCTGCAGCAGCAGAGGTCCAGTACCTTGTTCAAGGACACAACAACAGTGTCCGAACTGGTACCTTGCAACTAATACCTGCCAATCCAATGGGTCCAAAGCTCTAGCCTCTACTGTGGCTTTCCCCAAACACAAATCATGCCATAACCGCAAAGAAGTGACACATATAACACAAACTACATCACTATTTCATGCAATGCTTATTTAAAGCATGGCTTCCAAATGCCTTTACCCCAGTGCCAAATGTGCTGTGCCTTTCTTTTCTTCCAATACACTCTAAATAATTCCAAACTACAGCCGTTACTTAACCTACTCCTACAAACTGTCTAGTAAGCACCTTTAAATCCTTACTACACAGAAAGGTTTTAAATAAACAATGAAAACACTGAAGTTTCCCGTTACAGTGAAGTCGCTGACAGCTGAGCGTGCCGCTGGAAAGGGCCCATGGCTTGGCTTGTGATGAGCTCTGCACTCCTGACTGCCTGTGCATATGGCGTGTGAATGAAAGGACCTATTCAATCTCTACCAAACACAAACATGAAGACAGCAGTTTCACATGTACCGTTACCCACCGGGGACATTCAAGACTGACCCAGGGATGACAACGGGTGTCCAGGCTCTCCACACACTGCAAGAAGCCCCTGAGTACTGACGCAGAAGTAGGCCAGGCCATCAAGCCGGAAGCAAAAGGATGCAAAACACTAACAAAGACAACTGAATACCAATAAGCCCCAGCCAGCTGCAACACAACAACTCCCAGATCTGATCCCAGACGCCAACACCCCAGACTGTTCATTCTCAAGCACTATCTTTTACCAGCAGGTCTTACTGCAGCCATAAAAGTATAGGGCTGAGTCTGAGATCTCTTTCAGTTTCGAACAGCTGCGGTGATCTGCAGATATTGTTCTTCTGGAGCAGGGATTTTCAGCCTGGTCCTTTAGGGCCGGTATCTGCGGGTTTGCAGTCCAGCTGACCTCTTAATGATCCAAATCAGCTTAATTTGCTTAAGTGGCTTAGCCAGCTCTTCAGGTACTGCTGCTTTGAAGAGACCTAGTAAACCTGCAGATACACATGCCTTCCAGGAGTAAGGAGTACCACTGTTACAGAGGGACACACAGCTCAAGTCCACTGTTCAGGTGCAAGGTCTCAGCCTTTTGTAATTTATCAAACTTATTTGAATAACATACCCCCTTGTCTTTATCTTTGCTCCTCAATTTACTTTTACATGCTCCATCTTTTCAATCTCTAATGTGTTGATCTATGTTTATGTTGTATACAATTCTACAACAATGTAATTTCGGTGGGTAGCTGCGTCAGCATGCGTAGGCTGCAAAGGAACAAGTAATAGGTTTATTCCATGCTGAAAAGAGAAGAAAGAAAACGCAACATTTCGGCCTTCTTCAGGCTCCATGGCCAAAACGTTGTGTTTTCTTTCTTCTCTTTTCAGCATGGAATAAACCTATTACTTGTTCCTTTGCAATGTAATTTGATTTCATTTACAAACAAAACTGAAACAGAACACTAATTAGGAGTTTACGACTTGTAATTACCCAACCAGCAGGAGAGCCAGACAGAACTAGTCAGCATGCAATATTCCATCATGTCTTGGTAAAACTCCAAAGCATTTTTTTTCTGGGGAGGGGAAAGACTCAAATGGGGCAGAGCAGTGGCACTGTGGCTAATGATCTGCGCCTGTGGCTGGAAGTTTGCCGGTTCAAATCCCACGGCCGGCAGAGGAATCCTACTCTGTTGGGCCCCTGAGCAAGGCCCCTAACCCCAACTGCTCCAGGGGCGCTGTACAATGGCTGACAATGCGCTCTGACCCCCAGCTTCTCTCCCCTTCTGTGTGTCTGTCTCTATGGAGAGCAGGTTGGGGAATGCGAAAAGACAAATTCCTAATGCAAGAAAATGTAAATGGCCAATAAAGTGATCTTATCTTAAATGTCTTTTAAAGAACACAAGGAACATGATTACAAAGCAGAGTAATACCCACTGTGGGGGGCAGTGCATCCCTAACCCACTCCTGGTGCCTGCTGGTGGTCGTTCCCACTGAGCTCTCAATTAAACTACTAGCTTTCTGAACGAGAGCAGGAGACCTGCAGCTCTTTCAGTGCCTCAGAAATGTGTTCTACCAATCGCTGCAACCGTTCCAGAGCCGAACACAAAAGAAAAAACCCCAGCCCACAGAGAGGTCAGCTGGCAGGAAACCAGACGGACACCAGGGGTCACAGGAGCAGAGTTTAGGAACCAGGCACTGGGACAGGCCTCTACAACTCAAGAGGCCCCACAAAGAGCCAGGCTGGTCCCATGAGGGCCTAAACAGAACGGTGGTGCCCTCCCCTGCCACGTGATGCCATCTTTAACCGAACGCTTGACACGCCGCCTCATCAGAGGACTCAATATTCGTGAAATCCACTGCGATGACCCTTCGGTTTCTCTTCCACCTCGGCACCTGGCGGGACGCCCCGCCGCACAGCCAGCTTACTTGTCCACCAGCGTCCTGATCACAGCCAGGGTGTCCAGGACCAGCCCGTCCACGTTCTGCTTCTTCCTCCGGGGCTCGTGGGGCCCGCGCCCGCGGCGGGGCGGCCTGACCGGGTCTCGGGGGCGGCTGCGGGCCTCGGGCTCGGCGCCGGCGCCGCGGTGGTCCGCCTGCCGCAGCGGCCCGCGGGGCGCCGCGCCGTCCTCCACGTCGCTCTCCTCCCTGCACACGCAGCTGTTGCCCATGGCGACGGCCGTGGACGTTTCCCAAAGTCTTCGAAGGTGCAGCTCAAGGGTTAGCAGCAGACCCTGGGCAAGGCTCCTGCTGGCACAGAATACAAGCCAGGCAGCTACGATCATTGAGAGAGTTTGGGGAGCCCTCCCTGGGCGATCCGGCGGGGCGCGTCAACCATGGCGTGGCGATCGGTCTGCAGCGGGCCAGCGAGCCCAGCGACGGCAGAATCAAGCATCGTCCACCGATCTCCCCATGGGCCGTCCAAACCTGCACCCCCCCAGGGGGAGAGAGAAAAGAGAAACGGCAAGATGAGGGTGCAGGCTTTGCAGAGAGGGGAGGCTCCAGTTCGTACTGAAGCCCCTACAGACGTTATTCCAGGGAGCTTTCCAAGGAACTGTTCCAGCCCGACATGTCGATGAAAACAGGAACACCAGTGTCCATGCATGTGGGACACGAGCGGAGGGAGAGATCTAACTCCTGCACCACCAAGCTCTCCCAGTCAAGGGTTTTTGGCCTTGCTGGTCCAGTAGCAGCTCCAGCCCTTGTCTTCTGTGTTGAACCAGCCATCCTGTATATTGTAATACAATGACCCTCCCCCCAGAAACACACACAACAACAACAATAATAATAGATCACCTGTACAATAACGTTGCCGTTCAAGAGAATGATTACAAGGAAGCAACCTCAAGAGAGGCAGGCTGCTACACGATAACTTGCTTGGTTATTACGTAAGAAACGAGGAATTCTCTTTTACGTCTTAGTCACCGGGACACGCACAAATATGTAGTTTCAATTAAAAGCACGAGTCTAGAATGCTACAATACAGGAAAGCTACGATGTCACTTAAAAGAAAGCACAATGACGTTATGTAGTAACTCCTGGGTAGCAGATGTGTTGAACAATTACGAGAGACACAAAAGGCTACCTCGTTAAATCTAAGTTAATATAACTGATACAAAAAAACAGCCTCGCCAATGCATTATGAACGCCCCAGGTAAGAGTCCCCACAAGGTGCCGTGGTCAACACCCACACTTACCCGGAAAAGAGCTCAAATCCCCGGCAAGCGCTTCCTACTCTACAGCGATGATGCTTTTCCGAAACAGGCCTCCCCCAGGAGAGGCAGATGGGAAGTCCTGGCAAGTTTATCCGACACCGGCAGCGGATGGTACAGCTTAAGATTTTCTTTCTGTAATTGAGTTTTTTTTTTTCGTCCGGAATTCGACAGCAGTTTCCTGTCCTTTTGCCTGGTGTTTGGTTTCACAACCGCGACAGCAGCACAACACCGAGGCCCCCAACACGGCGCGGCCCCGGCTCGCCCGTCCCCTCCCGGCTCTGGAGTCAGGCGGTGCGCGGTGATGTCAGCCCTGGGCCTGAGCTCGGCGTGACGCGCTAGATTCCCCTCCGAGGGCCGGGGAGGCTCCTCCTAGCAACACGACAGATCCTACAACGCCATCCCGAAATCCCTCCTCATCTCGGAAAAACCTCCGTTTACAAGCGTTGCTAGGAAAACTCTCCGTCGCCGTGGCGTTTCCAAACTCCGCTGATGCTATTAAATAAGAGAAAATGCTTACGTTGTAAAATGATTATTCGTTTTAGAATATTTTAACATATGTTTTCAATTCAAGGGTCTTAATTGACACGATTAACACTACAGACAAAATTATATATAAATATATAAATAAAATTATTTTGCATGCCATAACATTATTTAAAAAGGCTTGGAATAATTGAAGAAAACTCGAAAGTTTTATTCTTTGTTAAAAAAATCAGAATACAAATAAAATCAATTCAGGCTCAAGTATGTGTTTTTTTACATAAGTATCAATAAATTCATTTTCTAAACTATTCTGTTTCCCTAAATAAGTATGCTGTCACACTTCGGTGTCCCCACTGATTCATGGGTTAGTTTGTGCTTCCTTTGTCCCCAGAGAACTGCAGAGAATCACAGAAACAACCCCGGAAGAGTCATATTTCACTTCTTTACCCAGAGAGTGGTGGGAGTTTGCAACAAAACTGGTTATTATTATGTTTTTAATGTGTGGTTATTATTATGTTTGTAATGTACTGTCTACATTGTGTGGTGTTGTCTGCTGCACTGTGTATGTCCTGAGAGATCAGCGCCTATACATGTGTAGTTCAAGTAGGGAGCTGCATCAGCATGCGTAGGCTGTAAAGGAACAAGTAAAGGTTTATTCCATGCTGAAAAGAAACACGTTTCGGCTGTGGAGCCTTCTTCAGGTCACCCTTTACTTGTTAATGTGTGCAAATGACAATAAACTCCCCTATTCCCCTATTCTACTCTACCAGCTGGCCAGCCATGTTGTTGAAGCACATACCATGGTCTCCTTTATGAAACGGCTGAATGACATCATGGGATCAATCAACTACTTACAACCAAATGGGCCTCCTCTTGTCTTGTTGTTAAGAAGTCACAAGGCTCTTAAAGGTTGCAAATACTTTCATCAGGTCCGTTCATCATTGTCAGACAGACTCATCTCTTCGAAGTCTAGTACCAACCCAGTGTGAATTCAGGACTTGCTTCTTAATCTACAGAAATGCTCCCCACATTACATCCCCTCCAATCCACTCCATTGCTGTACAGCCATTTTATTGGTATATTGGTCAATCTAACGATCGATTACAGGATTTAGGAGCAAGTTATAGCAAAAGTGTGTAAAGGAGTCAACTGGATGCTAAGTAGCCTGCTCTACATTGTAATTACGCTCAGACAAAGGGAAGGACGGGAGGTAAATCTGTTTGTGTACTTGATTCAGTATTTTATATCGTACTCATTACGATATTAAGGCGTCCGAGTAGACGTCATTGGTGTAAAAAACAGCAACAACGAAGGAATAAACAGGTAAATCTCCAGTGAAGCAGATGACGTAAAATTTTGAGCTCTGTTGTTAAAAAAAAATCTATTTTTCCGAGTAACGTCCAGAACATCACGGAAAAACATCTGAGAAAACAAACTACAAATCCCAGGATTCAATAGAGTCCAAAAAAAAAGGAAACTAAATCGCCAGGAACTAACAGGTTCGCTTGAGGAGAAGGACGGTGTGTGTTTGGTGTGACACCAGACTTGCCGGAATAGGTAATATGTTTTATTTTTTACGTGTTAAGGATTTTATCTTGTTCTAAAGGAGCATTTAAAAAAAAAAATCGATCATCCTGTGGCAATCGAGTGTTCTCAGCAGATCAGGGTGGTTACGTTGTCCTGTTAGATTACACGTTGCAGGGAGTCCTGTCCCCCGAGTCATGCTGTAATGTGGGCTAACTGTGGAAAGACCCCGCAATATTTGTTTCTCATTGTTGTTAACCGCGCTTGTTGTCTGTCTCCTCAGAATACGGAGTATATATTTTAAAAACCCTGTGAAGTGTCTTAGTCATTACGGACATTTTAAAGTTTGTGCTCATGCAAATTCCTACGGGAATAAAACTTCCCGTTTTTCCCAGCATCCGCTTCGGGTATTTAAAAGCTGCAAATTGTACATGTCTTGGAAGGGATTCGTGATGTTTGTGAAAACGGTGGAAAAAACAATTTATGTAAGTGTACGTAAATTGTTCAAATCGATTTCACACTATAGCAATTATCATAAGGGATATTTTTATATTTGAGAATATTTTTTCCGATTTGTGCTGACTTGGAAGGGTGTTACTGTTGTGAACCTGGGTACCTGTAATTATACCGACTCATTTCAACCGTAATATCGCTACTTGTTTGTTTAGAAATATATTCAAGTAAACAGCATCGCGCCGTGCACAGGAGTTTGGCTTCTGGGATATACAGTGAGGCTGCTGGATTCCAGGCCATCGGGATGCTTTGCTCCAGCTAATCCTGAGCAATCGGGTGACCTGCAGCTCCAGGGTCAATCGGGGAGCTGTGCAGCACTGGAGTTCTGGACGGGTGGCAGCCCTGGAATCCAGGTGCCCAGGTTGATCCCCTCAATCTATAACATAAGCGTTTCAGAGGGCAAACTCTTCATTCTCCAGACACAATACCAGCAGTTGCCAAAGTCGGCTTCAAGAATCCAGAGCTCCAGTCAGATCCCAGTGGAATCCGGAGCTCCAGAGATAGTCTGTCAACATCACACCGTGGCCCCAAGAAAAGAGCCGTTTTCTTTACACATCTAGGCTTCTCCTTGTGTCAGATCAGGCATCTTAAGGACTGGTGCGTCTGCAGCCTTTCACTCCAGCTGGGCTTTTAATGACCCGAATCAGCTCATTATTGACCTAATTGGAGCAGTTTAACACTGTCTTCCAGCACTTTAGGTGCTGAAGTAGGAGCTCCCAGTCCTGGTGACCCGCACACCTGCTGGGATTTGTTGCAGCTGAGTCTTCAGTTATACAGTCAAACCCTTCATTGACTTAATAAGAATAGTAAGAACTGTTTGTTCCCAGCTCTAAAGCTAAACATGTTGGTGCTTTAACTCTTGTTATTGTAAGTGAAATAAAATCCCAAACTTGTGACTAGAAAGAAAATTAAAATATTCCAATGATGCAAATTCTTATATCAAGTAAGAGTTCAGTGATCTAATGAAGGTGGGCTGGAATGAAAACCAACCAGGACCTTGTTGTCATTAAGTGACTTTAAAACTAATGTTAAATTATTGGATTGCTCCTTAATTACCTAATTAACCCTGATGCTAAAGGTGACATTGATGGGGAGGTCCCATATCACTCATGGAGGGCCTTGTGTTTCCTGGTTTTTGTTTCAACCTGAGTAGTTGATTAAAACAATTAGCCTAATTATTTTCTAGATACAGGATTTTAAAAGTCTTTTCAAGTTGATTACAAAGACATTCACTTTCTTAAAGGTGCAATTAATTATGAATCGCCTGAGAGCCTGGTTACATGCATTACAATCATACAGCCAGCTCAATAATTAGAACAACTGTGTCACTGACACTAAACTCAGAAGACACGGGCCCCTCTGGGAAATGAGATGGATGATTGTGATTAGCTGCAGCAAAGACCTGGACTTTCATCTCCAAAGCTGACTAAACCAAGGACTGGAGCTGGGGTTTTGAACCTTAGCCCTTGTTTTAGACCTTCTTTTGATTGAGGGGAGACAGTGTGAAATTCTGTATGGTGAAGGTATGAGAAATGATCAAGTTGAAACGGGATATTTTTTAAACCAGGTACAGAATCAAATCTTAAACATGCAAGACGATCACTTACTGTTGGAGCAAAAACCAGCCGACCCCTTGGCAACACGCTTTAAGAAAAGTGATGTTCGGCCTGTCTAGATAATTTTATTCCCAAAAGCTCACCGATCCAAAGATCTCACCTGCCATTTCTTGAAAGAAACTAATTTCAACAACATGCTTGGGCATCCTGTTACACACCCCCACATCCCTGTTTGTAAAGTACTGCCTCCTGTCTTTATTCGCGCATCAGTGTAATTCCCACTGGTGTCTCTAGGTGGTCCTTGTTGGCGATTTTGAGGATTGTGTATCAGGTACCCTTGTAGTCCAAGGTACCCTTGAACAAGCTGAAAGGGTCAGTATGGATCTTTCCTTTGATCCGCGCAGCAATATTTTTTGTATGTTGGTGACCAAAATTGTATGCAGTATTTTACACATCTTACTACACTGAGCAGTTTTTATATAAACTCCCTCGACTTGGATTCTACACATTTCTTAACTTTATATCTTGACAGTCTTTTGCTTTCTTGTTGCTTGTCCACCATACCTGAATGATTAAATGTATTCCTACATAAGCAGCAAAGTCTTTGTCTTATGTAGCCTCTTCAAGCTCAGTGTTAGCCTTTTGATAGTTGTGATTTGCGATTTTACACGCCGAACTTGCCTGCATTATTTGTCATCTGCCAGATTTTCGCTCCGTCCTTTAGATCTGTTTTGCAGCTTCTATGGAAACGGGTGGCATCTGTGAAAGCGGCATTTTTGCGTGCGTCTAAATTGAGTTTACAGCTGTTACGAATGGTAGTAATATTCGGTTATTTAACTTTTTGATAGGATAATGTGTAATTAACATTTTTAGTAAGCTATTTTTAGAGCTTTGTTTTGTATTATGGGGGAAAATATAGTTGAAATGTTAGAAAATTACCTCATCGCATCTTATGTAAAGCTATTGCATAACCGAGACAGAATCGTGAAGGGATTTCTCGGTCCTTTTTTGTTTTGTAAAAAATGTGGCGTGGTTTTGTTTATTTTGTTTCCGTGACCTACCAGCAGAGGGAGACGTTGAACCTTGAATGAGATCATCCTCGAACGAGCTCATGCCGTGTAATTTCGGGTGATTACGTTTACGTCGTCAAGTTTAAAATAGTCTGAATATCTAAAATCTCCTTCGCATCTCTCCTTCTGTTTTTTTGCTGGAGGAACTATAGAACCTAGAGCACTAAATAAAAAAAACAAATAGTATTGTGCACACGATATGCTACTTTTTAAAGAACGTCGTATTAGCTGCTTCAGGATGTCACAGGAGACCTGAATGTGTTTATTTTCTGTGTGGTAATAAGTAGTGATTCAAGCAAGGGCACCCCAGGGTGTGGTTTGGGGGGATACGTAGCTCCGGGAGTCCTCGCTGCCCGGAGACCTGCGCCGCTCGGCAGAGCTGCAGGGCCGTCGGCCACCGGGGGAGGCGAACGGAGGCTGGAGAGACGCGTTTCTCGTAAACAAAAACGTCGGAACAAAGCAAAACAAGCAGAAAGAAATCGCACGCCTTGGCCTGTTCAGATTTGACATCAGAATGATTCATTCTCAAAGGTCAGGTTTCCTTAATGCGTGCTCATCACATTGCTGTAACTTTGAGCTAACGTGGTTTTCCTGCAGAGTGAATTCGCCGAGAGAGGCAGAGGAAATCTGGGTCCAGCCGGGCTGTGTGTTGTTGGTGTTTGACACGGTTTTGCACAGACGTGTAACCTGACCTCCCTTCTCCCTGCCTGACAGATTCCCCCAAGCTCTCTGCTGGACGGATGACTCCTTGAATTGGCCTGGACCAGCTGATCGAGATCACTCCAGTAAAGTCTCCTTCCTTCTCTTTTGACAGCGTGCTTCTGCTGCTACTACTGAGAGCTGTATCTCAGCTTCTGAAGATCTAGTACGTGCCTGTAGGTCTGATTATCCAGCTCTGTATGGAAGCGACCCGCCCTTGTCCTGGGGGGTTGGTGCTCCTGCAGGATTTGTTGATATCTTTAATATACCAGCATCTAACAGCTGGTCGCGAGCAATATTAGTGTAGAGTTGTCCTGGAATGGAAACATGCAGGTCAGCTGGACTGCAGGAGCACGATTAGACACCCCTGTTCTAGAGAGTGGGATGATCACACATCATGTCAATGTGTCTAAATAATGGTGCACAAGTATACTATAGTTTTTAGTTCCGATAGTGATAGACAAGTGGTTCGTGAATGTTGGCTTTGATTTGAGCTTAGTCTTAAGTGTTGTTATTGTGAGATCTTACTGCAGCGCACCGGTTCAGTGCTTTCCAGTGCTTTCAGGCCTTTGTGATGACATCATGGCCCCGCAGTTTTCCGTGAGTCTGGGGCTGCGGACAGGCCTCACGGGAGACTGCCTGTCTGTGCACAGCGGCGTCAGAATGGCGGAGGCTGGGGACCAGAACCTCTTTATCGGCCGCAAGTTCGTCTCGGAGGCGGAGCTGGACGAGCAGCGGAAGAGGCGGCAAGAGGAATGGGAGAAAGTCCGGAAACCCGACGATCCAGAAGGTAAAACGTTTTCCCTTGCGATATTTTTTTTTTGCTTAATCTATATAAAAACAAACCTACAATGTGCTGTTTTTTGGGCTCTGGGCTCTGGGCTCTTGGGCTCTTGGGCTCTGGGCTCTTGGGCTCTTAGTCTTGTGTAGTGTCTGACTAAGACAGGGGTCCCCAGTGCTGCAGTGAGAGTGACTGGGGGCCCTGGTCTAAGGTGCATTGACAGTGGAGCAGTATGTGTGCTGACTCTCATCACTGGGATCGTAGCCACGGCTCTGGAAGGCTGAGGCTCATCTAGCCTGGTTGGTCGTTAGTGGTTAATTGATTCCCGGATCTTATCCATCCATTTCTTGAAAGAAGCCAGGAGATCGACTTCGGCACTGTGGCTGGGCTGTTCCCCACTCCCGCAGCCTTTTGGACAAAGACGTGCCTGCTGTTCTTGGTTTAAAAGCTCTTCCAAGTAGTTTCCTCTGTGTCCTCTGGTATGTGCCTCGCTGTTCATTCTGAAGAAGGGCGCTGGGCTGATTTTGTTAGTGCCTTTCAGGATTTTGAAGACTTGTATCAAGTCCCCTTGGAGTCTTCTCTGTTCAAAACTAAAAAGGTTCAGTTCCTTCAGCCTGTCAGTACAGGACGTTCCCTTAACCCCCCAGAATGTTTCTGGTTGCTCTTCTGTGGACTGATTTTAGACGAGCAATATTTTCTTTAAATTCCAGGATAATTAAACAAAATATCATAGCATTTTGTTTGGCTTTTTAATTGCTTCCTCACATTGTCTGGAAGATTTAAGTGAGGTGTGAACATGAACAGCTGAGTCTTTTTCCTGAGTAAAACACTGACTCTGCTGGTGTCCCATTGAGCCACGTCCTTCCTGTGCACAGTCCCAGTTAAATACACAGCTGGTTAGTGGGTGGAAATGTGCATTGCTTTGGGAAAATTCCTACCATGTAAAAATGTGCAGAATGTACAGTTAATGGCTCTGGAGACACTGTGGGACTGAGAGCCAGTGCAGTGGAGCAGAGCTCTCAGACCCCACACGTCCCAGGACTCCAGTCTTACCACCACACTCTAATGGACAGTATTGGAGCACTTATTGACATGAGGCTGTATTTTTCCTGAGAGAAACTTGTTGAGAAAATGGGATGGAATAGTCTCATGGCCGTTCATTTGTTCAGTTCAAGGGATTGTACCTTCCTTTGACATATTAGCAACGATGTGGGATCATATGGGTGTTTCATTTCCTTAGAAGCATTCATATACCTGTTCATATATCATTTTCTGCTCGTGTGACCAATTTCACAGGACAGCATAGTGAAGAGAGCAAGAGGTGCAGTACAGGACTTTGTACAGCAGGAGGCAGTGTGGCACCTCTTGGCATTTGAGTGCTAACACTCAGTGCTAAGCACTGAGAAAGGATCAGGGTGATATTTTCT